ACGCTGGTGACCGACGACTGGTAGAACATCTGCAGGAGTTTCCTGCAGATGTTGAACGACTGGAGCCTCCTCAGGAAGCACAGCCTGCTCTGTCCCCTCTTGTACAGGTAGTCTGTGTTGCATGTCCAGTCCAACTTGCTGTCCAGCCACAGCCCAAGGTACTTGTAGTTCTCTACAAGTTCTACCTCATGTGCCTCAATCAGAACTGGTCGTGGGCATGGTCCAGATTTCCTGAAGTCTACGACCAGTTCCTTTGTCTTTGAGGCGTTGAGCTGCAGGTGGTTTTCTCTGCACCAGACAACAAAGTCGTCCACCAGAGTCCTGTACTCACTCTCTCTGTCATCCTTGATACACCCCATGATGGCTGTGTCATCTAGGTACTTCTGTATGTGGCACAGCTCCAAGTTGTAACAGAAGTCCAAGGTGTACAGGGTGAAGAGGAGAGGGGCCAGCACTGTCCCCTGAGGGGCCACTGTACTGTTGACCACAGTGTCAGATGTGGTGTCCTTCAGTCTGACATACTGTGGTCTGTCAGTGAGGTAGTCGGAGATCCAGTCCACCAGGCACGAGTCCACTCCCATCCTTTCTAACTTTCCCCGCAGTAGCAGGGGCTGGATGGTGTTAAAGGCACTTGAGAAGTCCATAAAAAGAATCCTCACATTGCCGCTTACCTTGCACAGCTCCTCCACCCCAACATTTGCCTGGTAGGCAAATTGTAGAGGGTACTGGCCGTGTTGAACCTGGGGCCTGAGGAGGTGGAGGAGGAGCCGCTCCTGCATCTTCATCAGGTGTGAAGTGAGTGCCACCGGTCGGTAGTCATTCAGCTCGCTGGGCCGGGTCTTTTTCGGCACCGGAACGATGCAGGATGTCTTCCAGAGGGTGGGCACTGTCCCCAGCTGCAGGCTGAGGTTGAAGATGTGCTGTAGCGGCTCCCCCAGATGAGCAGCACAGGACTTGAGCATCCGTGGACACACCTTGTCCAGTCCTGCTGCCTTCCTGTGTCAGATCTTTCTCAGTTGTCCCCTGACCTGGTCAGCTGTTATGCAGGGAGGCATTCAGATTGTTTGCCTCCACCGCCCCCCCTGCTGTTCTGGCTTTTGTTGCTAAGACTGCAGGAGAGACTGCATCCACACAGAAGTTCAGGTAGTCAGTCAGGCAGTGGGTCAGCCCCTCAATGTCCTCGCCATGGGGGGAAAACAGAACATCCCAAGAAGTGGTTTCCATACAGTCTCTCAGGGCCTCCTCCACCTCAGGAGACCACCTCCTGATGGTGCGTGTTGTGGCCGGCTGTCTGTTGACCAGAGGGGTGTACTGAGGCTGTTGGAGGACTAGGTTGTGGTCTGACTTCCCAAATGGGGGGAGGGGGGTGGCTGTGTATGCATCCCGTACATTAGCATACAGGAGGTCGATTGTCCGTCTTTTTCTGGTGGGGCAGTTCATATCAGAAAAAAAAAAATGTTGTTGTTCATTGAATCTAACCAATGACAGATTGTTAGTTTTTCAAATTTTCATTTTATCTGTCCACTGTTTCCTGCTGATAGTGTTCTTATGATGCTCCAGGCCACAGATATCAGATCTACCTGCAACAGTCACGACACAGCACACCACATATATTAACTCTCCAGTGTATCTTATTAATAACACAACGACTGAACATCCTGCATTCTGATTTGTTTGAAGGCAGGAATTAACTTTTTGTACCAGGACACTTCAACTGGACAACGATGGAAAAGTGTTGGGTTGCTGCTCTATGCTGCAGTTTTACACTGTAGGTATAAACAGCTGAGGTGAGGGTTATTTGTGTAACGACCAACAACAAGTGAAAAAAGGATAAATAGCTTCTCAGTGAGAACCATGCAAATATCATTTAAAATATGAATGACATTGGAGTTAATATAGAAATCCAAATCCAAAGTCCAGCCTGTCCGACATCCTGGAGTCAGCAGTCAGAACTCAGCTGAAAACTTTCCTCTTGGAGCTCTCCAGTCTGAAAGGATAGGGTCACAATTTTTATAGATACTGTCTTCAGTGCTTACTGATACAGAAAGAATAATTACAGAAAGCAAAACCTGTTGATGTCTCGGGGGTTTGCACCGTTGCCTGGCAGCAAGACGGTCACCGGTTCGTGTCCTGGTGAGGACACCCGAGATCTTTCTGCGTGGAGGTTACATGTTCTTCCTGTGCAGCGTGGGTTCTCTCCAGGTTCTCCGGCTTCCTCCCACAGTCCAAAAACATGTTGAGGTTAATTGGTGATTCTTAATTGTGAATGTGACTGTACTTGGTTGTCTGTCTCTAAGTGTAGCCCTGCGATAGGCTGGTGGGATAGACTCCAGCCCCCTGCGACCCTAGTGAGGATTAAGTGGTGTATAGATAATGGATGGATGGAAAATCTGATGAAATATTCATTCAGAAACCTGATTGTTGTTTTAAGACTGACTGGGAAATACTGCTAGCTTATCCTTTAAGTCTCCACCAGTCTGGTTTCAGAGTCAATCATAAGCTGAACTCAACTCACTGCTTGAGCAACTGGTGGATTTAATATCAATGTGTCATGTAAACACAGCACATTAATTTGCACAAAGATGAAGCTAATGTGAAACTAAATGTAATTGTATCTAAGTTGCTCATAATGCAAGTACTTTGGCCTTCAAAACACCCCAACAACTGTCCCTCAGCTGTCTTTGTTTCACTGACTCTCATTATTGTGTCCTGTTCTATCTCTATTTTATCTCTTGGTGTAACTATAGACAGGATAACCATATCATTTTGCTTTTCAGGGTTGTCTTGTGAAACTGAGGGACTGGTTTGCCAGAAACTACCTCAGCACAGGGGCAGGAGTTGTCACAATGTTTATCATGCAGGTACAGTACATCCAGCCTTCCTCGTTATACGTCTCAATTAGTGGTGTCCCAGCAGATGGTGTCCATCAGATATCATGCACCTGAAGACCTGATGGAGCTTAACTGATTGGACAGTGGCCAAAGGTGCTTTAGTTTTATACCCATAGAGAGCAGTGTCCAGCACACTTTCTGACATTGCAACAATGGCAGCCACTTTAGAAGCCCTCAGCCAAAGCCCCAAACAGCTAAACATCTTCTTAAACATAGCTATTATCTGGTTTTGTATGAGAAATATTTATTTCAGGATACTCACTGTATCCTCTCAGCCAACCATCACTGTTCTTGGCTCCTTTCAGGCAGTAAAATAGGCTGTAAACAGAAAACTGACACATGACCTCATAAATCTGATATAGAAAAGGTGTTAGCATATGAAACATAAGCACTCATTTGAAGCCAATGTAGTTTTTTAGGAAAAGATCTCTCTCTATTATGTTCATTGACTAGTTCCTAGCTTTGTTTCTGTTGTTTTGAGCCTGGCAGGACATTAATTGTGGATTCATTGAGTTTAAAACTTTTTGTTAAAATGATGTCAATGAGAGGTAACCAACAGAGTTCATACAAGTGCCCTTGTAACATTATGCATAGTAATCTGACACATTTTTATTATAATATTGAAGAGATGTCACATTTGCAAAGCAGTGTATCAGGCTAGTTAATTAATATTTTTCTTATTTTCTTTGTTTGCAGTTTGTTTGCTTGTCTATCACCATCCCTGTCTTTTGCCACTTCAGTCGACAAGGATTGGGTTACCAGTAAAAAAAAAAAAGAGGAATTTACAGCTCTCTGTCAACTCTTCACATGTAAATGGGATGCTTTTTCCTGTGTCAGATTTGTATTCATCTGTTCTGAATGATCCAAGTCCTGCTGCCATTTGCAGCCACTAAAAAGAGAACCAAGGGAGTAAAATGTGAGGACGTCTTATGAGACAATCGCTATTAATGATGTCATGAGGCGACAGACCATTGAATTTGATATAAAGGCATTTAATTGGTATATAAGTTATGACATGATTAGGTAAGAGCTAGTTCACAAAGACCCCCAAAATATGTTTCCCCAAAGAGTGTTAGACAAGATTCTATTAACCACTGTAGGACATCTGCTGTTCCCAATACACCAAGGGGATTTTATTTGTAACACTTGACCTCCTTCCCAGTAATAATTACAGCATAAATCCCCTCTTGTTTCCCAGTTTGCTGCTCTACCTGTTATTAAAATCCTGTCAGATATGTATGTATATATGTATGTCCTTGTATTTTTACAGTGAATCTCAGATTTTTTTTTTCCTGTCCTGCATTTTATCAGCTCAGTGTGACATTTGATAGTCTGATGGAAGAATGTTAACACCAGCTTGTAGGCCTATCTAGGAACCAATCTGACAGTGGAAAGATATAAAAACTGTAAGGGGAGCTGCAACCCTACTGGCTGTCGTAAATTAGCTACAGCCAGGTGCTGCTATGGTACTTCGAGCTCTGCTTTCACTTAAGGTTCAATTAAACGAATGCTGAATTAGCCAGCAGCAGTTCTTTTTTGTAACATATCCATGCTTGTACTGACAGCTATCACTACATTACTTTAATGATGAAGAAAACTAAAAACTGTCAGCATTTTCAAGTCCTGAAGCATGTTACTTTTTATGATTATTGTCCTACTGAGTGTCTATCACAGACCACATCATGTCCACTGTGTCAAAATTTTTAAAATCTTGTTCATGTTGTTAATCTTGTATAAAAGGAGCTTTGGACAAACTAAATTCAGTCAAATTCTTCTGCTTTCTTATTTTGGGGATTTTGAGGTTTCATTTGTTTTATGCAGCTGGAAATCACTTGTAAACTTGTGAGTACACTTTCACTAAGGGGAAATAAAATGGCATATATGCTAAATTAAACCCACACATTTCAGTTGTTTCCATTGTGTGAGTTTCTTGTTTTTTCTGTTCAGCCTACACTCTATGTTCTCTCTGCGATGTGATAAAATCCAAGTTTGAACCACAGGTCACTGTTCAATTCAATTCAATTCAATTCAATTCAATTCAGTTTTATTTGTATAGCGCATATTTACAACAAGTCATCTCATAGCGCTTCACAAAGGCAGAGACAGAAACACCCAACAATCCAAAACATTTGGATTCCCTATAAGCTTCAGCAGTCCGCAAGCAGTCCGCAATAGTGGGAAGGAACCAAAAATCCCCACAGGGGAAAAAAACCTCCGACAGAACCAGGCTCAGGGAGGGACGGCCATCTGCCTCGACCGGTTGGGTGAGAGTGGGATGAATTACACTATTTAGTGTACAGTTAAACAAGTTATTAGAATTTATTGTCCTTTTGTAACAGGAGGCATCATGGTGGGGGCAGCAGGATACAGAAATGTGAGGCCAGCAGCTGTAATTCAGGAGCTCCAGATCCAGAGACATCCACAGAGAGAGCAGTTCTGTTTAGGATCCACTCAGGATATGCAGGTCTTCTTTTGAGATACATTTTTTGGTCTCCTGCACACATAACAATTGATATATAATAGATGGCGCTTAAAATAAAGGTCTAAATTAAATACTGAAGGTTTGTTGCACAAATTAATATAAAACCTGTATTGTAGGACTGGCGACCTGTCCAGGGTGTTCGGCTGGGATAGGCTCCAGTCCCCCCGCGACCCTAGTGAGGATTAAGCGGTGTATAGATAATGGATGGATGGACCTGTATTGTATTACTGTTTTTTTTTTTTTTTTTTTTTTTTTTTTTTTTTTTTTTTACAAATTATGAAGTTACTATGACCGAATACAATTAGAAATGTTGCCTTACAGTTCCTTCATATATTCATTAAAATGCAACAAATCATTGCTAGATCAATAAAAGAGCTTTGACCCAGACATTAGCTAGAAGGAACCATTTCAAGGGTTTAACAAAGCTACTCTGAACTCTAGCTGCTAAACTTGTAATCCAGCTGTTTGGGGAATAAGATTTAGCTCATATAATCTAAATTGGTTTAGCTGTCCAAGAAAACGTTTATCTGGAATATTATGTTTTCCATAACCCGAACAAATCTGCTGGCAGCTGAATGAACAGTTTCAGTTGATATAAGAATAAGATTTACAGAATACTGTATTGTGTACCTAATTCTTCAAAGCAATACCAAATGGACCCTCCTCTGGCCTTTTCATCACAGCATCTGCCTAAATTCAGTGGTTTGGGATTTTTTTAGTGCTTGAGCTGGTGGATTGTATGGTGGTTTTAATTTTGTATGGTGGAATAATTTTAATCTGCTACATAGAATGTAAAAATCACTTGGAATTTAAATAACACTGCAAAACTACAAACACTATGTGATAGACTTTAAATGAACAACGTCTCTTTCTTCTTGGCTCAAACTCACTTGTAGTCAGTAGTCCATCCCAGACAGAGTACCACATTCATCTGGCCACATGAAAAGCCAGCAATGTAACTTGTTAATGCACAACTGTTGTCTCATCCAGCTGTTCTGTAGGAGCACCATAGTATACACAAGGTCCTGGACCAGTGTGGCATTTTTTCCAACAA